TTCTAGATAACATGACGCATGATCGGAAAACATCATTCATTGGAAGCCTACCAGCCATCCAGAAGGAGTGGGAAAGGAACAACAATTCTAATATACAAGGGGCGGAGGCTATAGTCAGGGATAAAACTGAGGCTGAAACTTGGGAAGATGTAAACTCTGACTCAGTAGGCCAGGATGTAGATGACGGTAAACTAGAAAGTGTACCAGACAGCACTGACAGCTCGATAGGTACAGACACTACGACGGTTCCCGATAGAGTAATTCAGAACAGAAGGACAGACTTATGCAAATTTTATGCAAAGGGCATATGCAGACATAGATATGCTGGTAATAAGAAAGGATTAGAATGCAGTTACCAAAATCCCAAAAAATGTTTAAATATGCTTAGGAAAGGGGAGTGTCGATTTGGATCAATATGTAGGTTTTTCCATCCTGACATGTGCCAAACCTCACTGGAGGACAGAAAATGCTATGACCTCAGCTGCCCACACTTTCACGTGAAAGGCACGGAACGCTACATAAAGAGTGGCAAGCAGGATAATGAATTTGCAGGAAACTATAAATTTTTTATACCAGACCGGCAGAGAATTCAAAAGGAGCAGCAAGGAGAATGTATGGAACTGGATGCCAGATCCACTTGCATTCCCGAATTACAGATACAATTACCCACCGAAAGGGAACTACAACTACGACAGACAACTGCCCTACAACAATCAGTACTGGTCAGAACAAACTCATTATGTCCACGAATAATGGGCTTGCCGAAAATGTCTCCCATTCAAACTATCACTAATAGAGTAACCTCATTCATCTTTGCCAACATACAAGGACTGAAAACAAGAACAAACAACAAAGTACAGTTCATAAATGGCCTCCTCACGGAGTCAAATGCAGTATTTGGAGCTTTCACAGAAATCCATGCAGGGGAATTGTTGGACAGTGAGATATAGATTCCAGGATATAACGTATACAGGTGTGATAGGAAAATTAGGTCACATGGAGGAGTGGGTCTGTATATTAGGGAAGACCTTGTATGCTTGGAGCTCCTAAACGTTACAAATGAGGTGGTAGAGGTACTGGGATTAAAAATAGAGAAAATAAATTTAGTGATTATTCTAATATACAAACCGCCAGATGCAACGGCTGAGGAATTCACAGAACAGATAAGCAAAATAGAGAATAGCCTTGATAATTTGGAGAACCCGATACCTGATATTATCTTCCTAGGAGACTTCAACTTGCCTAGTCTCAGGTGGAAAATAGCAAACAATAATATTATACCAGGAAATCTATCAGGACCTAACCAACCAAAGATTAGAGAACTACTTAGATTCTGTGACAAATTTTCACTCAATCAGCAGATATCGGAGCCAACGAGAAATGAAAATATTCTAGATCTGGTCTTTACGAACAATGAAGACATTATCAGTGACATTATGATGTCAGATACCACATACTCAGATCACACGCTCATTGAAGTGCAAGCGACCATCAATACTCAGAATAGACCTAAAACGTTGATAAAGCGAGAGGGGCTATTCAGTAAATTCAATTTTAATAATAAAAGGATAGACTGGGAGATAATAAACAGGGAACTTACAAACATTCCATGGGGAACTGTTCTAAGTAATACAAGTCCTACAGAAGGAATAGAAAAACTGACTTCAGAAGCGTATCAAGTCTGTCTGAAACATGTTCCTTTGAGGAAAGCCAGAAAGAGATCTAATGTAGAAAGAGAACGCAGACGACACTATAAACGCAGGAAAAAAATAACGGAACTGCTTATGCAGACACGAATTTCTCGTCAAAGAAGGAATAATTTAAATAGGGAGATTGAAGAAATCGAGCGGAAATTGAAACACTCATATGAAACTGAAGAAAGGCAGCTAGAACAGAAAGCAATTCAGGAAATAAAGAAAAATCCAAAGTATTTCTTCTCATATGCGAAATCAAAAGCAAAAACCACTGCCAGTATTGGACCTATTCGTACAAGTGAAGGTTCATACACGGAGGATGACAAAGAAATTAGTGAAATCCTAAAAAAGCAGTATGAGGACATGTTTAGCACTCCAATAAACAACATGAAGGTGGAAGATCCAGACAATTTCTTTATGCGGGATATTCAAACCCCTGTAAATATAACTGATATAAACACGAGCGCACTAAATTTTGAAAGAGAAATTGAAAACATGCCCATGCACTCGGCCCCAGGTCCAGACTCATGGAATTCAATATTTATAAAGAAATGCAAAGTGCCGGTAGCACAGGCACTCCGTATAGTGTGGAGGAAGAGCTTGGACACGGGGGAGAGACCAGATGCACTTAAAATAGCAGACATAGCCCCTCTACACAAGGGAGGGAGCAAAGCATTGGCAAAGAATTATAGACCAGTTGCACTAACATCGCACATCATAAAAGTATTTGAGAGAGTGATTAGGAGTCAGGTCACCAATTTCATGGAGACCAATGACTTTCACAACCCAGGCCAACATGGATTTCGAGCGGGAAGATCGTGCCTCTCACAGCTACTTGAGCACTACGACAAAGTCACTGAAGCATTAGAAGAAAAACAGAATGCTGATGTGATATACACGGACTTCGCAAAGGCTTTCGATAAATGTGACCATGGCGTGATAGCACACAAAAGGAAGTCAATGGGAATAACCAGTAAAGTAGGACGCTGGATACTCAGTTTTCTGTCAAAAACAGGACTCAGCATATAAAATCTGGTTTGACCTGTCAACCATATAAAATCTAGTCCAAGTGCAGTGAAAAGCTCTGTACCTCAGGGTACAGTCCTTGCACCGCTGCTTTTCCTTATTCTCATATCAGATATAGACAAAAATACAAGTCACAGCTTCGTATCATCCTTTGCAGATGACACAAAAATCAGTATGAAAATTACCTCGGCTGAAGACATTGAAAAACTTCAAGCTGATATTAATAAAGTTTTCGACTGGGCATCAGAAAATAACATGATGTTTAACAGCGATAAATTCCAGGTACTCAGGTACGGTAAAAATGAGGACCTTAAACATAATACAGAGTACAAAACACAATCAAATGTACCCATAGTAGGAAAACAGCATGTAAAGGATTTGGGAATAATAATGTCTGACGACCTAACGTTTAAGGAGCATAACCAATCAAATATTGCGACAGCCAGAAAAATGATAGGATGGATTACGAGAACTTTCAAATCTAGGGATCTCATCACAATGGTTGTACTCTTCAAGGCACTTGTGTTGTCCCGTCTTGAGTACTGCTCAGTACTCACTTCCCCCTTCAGAGCAGGAGAGATTGCTGAAATAGAGGGAATACAGAGAACATATACGGCACGCATAGACGCAATAAAGCACCTAAATTATTGGGATCGTCTCAAAGCCCTCCAAATGTACACACTAGAAAGAAGACGAGAGAGATATCAAATAATATACACCTGGAAGATACTGGAGGGCCAAGTACCAAATCTACACAGAAAAATAACAACGTACTGGAGTGAACGATATGGAAGAAAATGTAGAATAGAACCGGTGAAGAGCAGAGGTGCCATAGGCACAATCAGAGAACACTGTATAAACATCAGAGGTCCGCGGTTGTTCAACGTCCTCCCAGCAAGCATAAGAAATATTGCCGGAACAACCTTGGACATCTTCAAGAGGAAACTAGATTTATTCCTCCAAGGAGTGCCGGACCAATCGGGCTATGGTGGGTATGTGGGCCTGCAGGCCGCTCCAAGCAACAGCCTAGTGGACCAAACACTCTCAAGTCAAGCCTGGCCTCGGGCCGGGCTTGGGGAGTAGAAGAACTCCCAGAACCCCATCAACCAGGTATCAACCAGGTATCAACCAGATGCTCCAAATCACTTGTGCAATTCTATAGGCCATTGCTCTCCGTGCCCCTCTGAGGGGGCCAGGTTATGGCTCGTGGTTGCCGGTAGGCCTAAGAACTCCATTCACACTGACTGACCAAAGTCTAATATATCGAAATTAGCCTGGATAAGCTCCCGGGAGCCTCCAGGTCTCGCCCAGAAAATGGTGTTTCATTACATTCAATGCTGGTTTTCCCTTCTATGTGTATAGCTAGCATCAGGGTGCCAATGAGGCTCCCTGCAGAAAACCAGCATTGAATGTAATGAAACGGCAGTTTCTGGGTGAGCCCCGGAAGCTCCTTGACACCCTCAAATGAAGAACCTCCCTCTAGTCTGTGTTTTCCTCATTCATGGGGTTTGGCACTAATGAGAGGGGGGGGGGGCTAGTTGGATGAAGTTTGTAGGTCGCATTTTCAAAAAGGCATTAGTCTGTTTTGACTCGCCTACCTTGATGGCTGCCTTCCCTGGTCGATGGCAAGATGACATTCTCTAAATGTTAAGTGTTCATGGGTCATTACTATCTGTGCATCTCTGAGGGGGCAGGGTTCTGGCTCGTATTCCCCAGTAGGCATAAGAACTCTGTGACTGATGACCCCATAATATAGCACTATATTAGTTTTATGATTTTTACAAAACTACAAAAATCAGTTTTACAAAACTGATACAGCACTATATCAGTTTTAATAGCATCAGGGAACCTCCGGGGCTTACCCAGAAACTGGCATTTCATTACATTCAACACTGTTTTTTTAATTTAAATTGTAGTTCTAACTACAGTAATTTTCATTTTGCTTGGCTCTTATCACTAACTTTCTTAGGTTCCATGGTGACTTATTTACAGTAAGAATGTAAAAAATATCCGAGAAATTTTAGAGAAGTCTAGTGGTGTTCTGTACTGAATGACAGCCATGACAAAACTGATGTGTCAGGGACATGTGTTCATGTGTGAGTGACAAGCAAACGGTCAAGTACCAAACATGAACACAGCGTCTGAATGCAGAAATGTTTCAGTTGGGAGCTGTTCGAGTACCGAGGTTCCACTGTATATACTTTGGAGGGAAGGCAGGGAGGAGGTGAAGGTTGGGTTGGGCAGTGCAAATTGAACTTTGTTTTCTTCATTATTTTACAGATTGATGATGGTGAGATCCATGCCAGCATAAATCAACGAGATGGGATGGTTGTGTTTTTGGATAACCCAGAAAAGTATAACTCGCCCACCATGATGGCCCATCTCGATAAAGAGGCAAGTAATTTTCTGTTCCTCGCCCTAAAACAATAACAAAATTTAAGTCAGTCTTAATGAATGTAATATAAGGAATACATGGTTGTCTGACACATAATGTTAACTCAATTAGTGCTGACTTCATCATCATCAACAAAAAAAAAACTGCCTAAACTGCTACCACCAGCACCACAATACCACCACCACCACCACAATACCACCACCACCACCACAATACCACCAGCACCACCACCACCACAATACCACCAGCACCACAATACCACCACCACCACCACAATACCACCACCACCACAATACCACCACAATACCACCACCACCACAATACCACCACCACCACAATACCACCACCACCACAATACCACCACAACCACCACCACCACAATACCACCACCAGCACCACAATACCACCACCACCACCACAATACCACCACCACCACAATACCACCACAATACCACCACCACAATACCACCACCACCACCACAATACCACCACCACCACAATACCACCACCACCACCACCACAATACCACCACCACCACAATACCACCACCACCACCACCACAATACCACCACCACCACAATACCACCACCACAATACCACCACCACAATACCACCACCACCACCACCACAATACCACCACCACCACCACCACCACAATACCACCACCACCACAATACCACCACCACCACCACCACAACACCACCACCACAATACCACCACCACCACCACACCACCACCACAATACCACCACCACACCACAATACCACCACCACCACCACCACCACCACCACAATACCACCACCACCACAATACCACCACCACCACCACAACCACCACCACCACCACAACCACCACCACCACCACCACAATACCACCACCACCACAATACCACCACCACCACCACCACCACCACCACAATACCACCACCACCACCACCACAATACCACCACCACCACCACCACCACCACCACCACCACAATACCACAACCACAATACCACCACCACCACAATACCACCACCACCACAATACCACCACCACCACAATACCACCACCACCACCACAATACCACCACCACCCACCACAAAACCACCACCACCACAATACCACCACCACCACAATACCACCACCACCACCACACACCACCACACCACCACCACCACCACACAATACCACCCACCACCACCACCACCACCACCACCACCACAATACCACCACAATACCACCACCACAACCACCACCACCACCACCACCACCACCACCACCACCACAATACCACCACCACCACCACAATACCACCACCACCACCACAATACCACCACCACCACCACAATACCACCACCACCACCACAATACCACCACCACCACAATACCACCACCACAATACCACCACCACCACCACAATACCACCACCACAATACCACCACCACCACCACCACCACCACCACCACCACAATACCACCACCACAATACCACCACCACCACCACAATACCACCACCACCACCACCACACCACCACCACCACCACCACCACCACCACCACCACCACCACCACCACAATACCACCACCACCACCACAATACCACCACCACCACCACCACCACAATACCACCACCACCACCACCACAATACCACCACCACCACAATACCACCACCACCACCACCACCACCACCACCACCACAATACCACCACCACCACCACCACAATACCACCACAATACCACCACCACAACACCACCACCACCACCACCACCACACCACCACCACCACCACAATACCACCACCACAATACCACCACCACCACCACCACAATACCACCACCACAATACCACCACCACCACCACCACAATACCACCACCACAATACCACCACCACCACAATACCACCACAATACCACCACCACCACAATACCACCACCACCACCACAATACCACCACCACCACCACCACCACCACCACCACACCACCACCACCACCACCACAATACCACCACCACCACCAATACCACCACCACCCACCACAATACCACCACCACCACAATACCACCACCACCACCACCACCACCACCACCACACCACCACCACCACCACCACCACACAACCACCACCACCACCACCACCACCACAATACCAATACCACCACAATACCACCACCACACACCACCACCACCACCACAATACCACCACCACCACCACCACCACAATACCACCACCACCACCACATACCACCACCACCACCACCACCACAATACCACCACCACAATACCACCACCACCACAATACCACCACCACCACCACAATACCACCACCACCACCACCACCACCACCACCACCACCCACAATACCACACCACCACCACCACCACCACAATACCACCACCACCACCACAATACCACCACCACCACCACCACCACCACACCACCACCACCACCACCACCACCACAACACCACCACCACCACCACCACCACCACAATACCACCACCACCACCACAATACCACCACCACCACCACCACCACCACCACAATACCACCACCACCACAATACCACCACCCACCACCACCACCACCACACCACCACCACAATACCACCACCCACCACAATACCACCACCACAATACCAATACCACCACCACCACCACCACAATACCACCACCCACCACCACCACCACCACCACCACAATACCACCACCACCACCACAATACCACCACCACCACAATACAATACCACCACCACCACAATACCACCACCACCACAATACCACCACCACCACCACAATACCACCACCACCACCACAACCACCAAACCACCACCACAATACCACCACCACCACCACAATACCCGCACCACCACCACCACAATACCCGCACCACCACCACCACAATACCACCACCACCACAATACCACCACCACCACCACAATACCACCACCACCACAATACCACCACCACCACCCACCACCACCACCACCACCACCACAATACCACCACCACCACCACAATACCACCACCACCACCACAATACCACCACCACCACAATACCACCACCACCACAATACCACCACCACCACAATACCACCACCACCACAATACCACCACCACCACAATACCACCACCACCACAATACCACCACCACCACAATACCACCACCACCACAATACCACCACAATACCACAACCACCACCACAATACCATAACCACCACCACAATACCACCACCACCACCACCACCACAATACCACCACCAGCACCACCACAATACCACCACCACCACCACCACAATACCACCAGCACCACCACAATACCACCAGCACCACCACAATACCACCAGCACCACACCACCAGCACCACACCACCAGCACCACACCACCACAATAAAACCACCACCACCACAATACCACCAGCACCACACCACCAGCACCACTCCACCACCACCACCACAACAACACCAAAAACACCACAATACCACCACCACCACCACAATACCACCACCACAATACCACCAGCACCACACCACCAGCACCACACCACCACCACCACCACCACAACAACAACAAAAACACCACACCACCACCATCACCAACAACACACCTCAACACTACCACCACCACCACCACCACCACCACCACCACCACCACCACCACCATCACCAACAACACCACACCACCACCATCACCAACAACACACCTCAACACTATCACCACCACCACCACCACACCACCACCACCATCACCAACAACACCACACCACCACCATCACCAACAACACACCTCAACACTACCACCACCACAACACCTCTACACCACCATATTGAAGCTGTTTGTTATTTTCCCCTTCATTTGTTAGGGCCATGGCATGCTAGTTTGAGTTCCTAGCTAGTGAACAGGTTCTTTCTCAGCTGGCACTGGCAGAACTGCCAGTTGGTTCTATCATGGGTTCAGAAATGTCTGGATCTCATTTTGGACTCCAGGGGCCAGATTCACGAAAGCACTTACGCAAGCACTTATGAACGTGTACATCTTTCATCAATCTTTGACGGCTTTGATTACATTTATTAAACAGTTTACAAGCATGAAAACTTCCCATTCAACTGTTGATATTGTTATAAACAGCCTCCTGGTGCTTCGGAGCTCATTAACTGTTTAATAAGTGGAAACAAAGCCGCCAAAGATTGAGAAAAGATGTACAGGTTCATAAGTGCTTGCGTAACTGCTTTCGTGAATCTGGCCCCTGGTTGGCATCCCTATCTACCTCTGGAAGCTCTTGACCAGTTGGCTTTACAAATCCATCTGGTGGTAGTGACCACGTGAGTTTTTCCCGGTGGTGGCAGTTTGAGTGGTTGTGTAGAAGCCTGAACTTTGTATGGTTTATCATCTGGGGAGGGTTTGGCTTTGGGAGCTGTCTCAGTTTCTCCAGTATCGCCCCTTTTTACCCCAGAAGGGTTCGATTGATACAGACGCTGTTTGCCCTTCGGCAACTTCATGCTTGCCATTTTCCTCTGTTCTTTTCAGGATCAGGTTTCTTAGCAACTTCCTCCTTCTGCGCTCAGCCTGGTCACAGATGCCTTGGTCCTTCACTGAGAGTTTGTGACTAGCATGCACCAAGCAGCTCAGGGCTGTTGGTCAGGTCCTTTATTGTGCTAAAAGTACCTTATTTATGCCGCTTTCTTATTTCATCGGTTCGGCCTCTATGGCCTTGTGGTTTGTCCTGTCACCTTGGTCTCTTGTTCTGAAGTTCATTCTCTGGTTGTCTGCAGTGTTGTTCAGTCATGCCTGCCTGAGGTCTTCTCTCGCCCATTACATTTTGGTTCTTTTCCATTTCTTGCCTGGCTTTGCAACCATTCTGGGCTGCTTTTCTGTGGGGAGCCCCTACGGCTCCCTGGAGCTTATCGGGCTAATGTATGTTATATTAGACCGGGACATTAGCTAAGGAGTTCAAACCTACCAGGGACCAGCGCCAGAACCTGGCCCCTTCAGAGAGGTTTCAGGGAGCAATGGCCCTGGAAAACCCCTTGTGGTTGGGGTTTTCCTTATCTGCCATCGACTGGGGTTAGGCACCCAGAAAGGTAGGCATAACAAAACAAACCTCACATGGTAAAAACTAAAACAAAAACCGAACATAGAGGTAGAAACTCCCTACAATCACAAGGAAACAAACAAACAAGCAAACATCACACTTTACTGCCGCGCCGATCGTCCGCGCAGCCCTCCCCGCCCCGGGAGGGGGAGGGGGGAGCCCCGGACCTACCGCGCCGGCTGCCAAGCTTCAGTTCGTTCGCTAATGTCAACCGGGATTGACGCTTCTCTGGCCTCAGTTTCCTAGGCGGTGTTTGCCTTGTGTGGCGTTCACTGCCGTGTGTTGTGGTGTGCGGTGGCCAGGAGTACTTCATCAGTGCCGGGGCTGCATGTGCTTAGTGGCTGACTTCCCTAAGCACCCTGTGAGTACTGCCCTTGCGTAACAGGGTTATCTTCCCTGGGGTGTTCGGGAACCATTCCCGTAGAGGTTCTTGCTGCTCGGCATTTGCCTCGCCCTTGGGGCCAGCTGGGGCTTGGGGCCCTTGTTTGGCCCTGGGTAGGGATTGGTATTGTGCTGGTTAGGGCGTCAAGGTGTTGCACAGCCTGCCATCTAAGTGGCAGCCGGTTTCTGTTGCCTCTGGAGACGGTGTACTTTTGCGGGGTTTTTGTTTTGTTTTTAATTTTTCTTGCCTGGTGGGGGTCTGCCTAAGGTGGTTATAGTTCCACTGGTAGTGTTTGGCGGCCCTCTGCTAGGCCCCCGTGATTGTACACGTCTCAGAGGGGTTTTCAATGCTATAATCTACCCTCTTGTTATGTTTGGGTTTCTTAACCGGTTAGCAACACCTTGCCCGTGCTTCCCGTAGTTGTTACCCTACGGGCCCTGGAAACCCCTGTCTGGGCTCGGGGGACCATTGAATGTGTCTTCCGGGTTCCAACCCGTCTTGTACGGGATCGTTGGTTGCTGTTCCCTTGTCTCCGGGTGACAGTCGCCATTTTTACCTCCGTCATGCTGCCTGTTGGGTCACTGACACCTTGACCCGGAGTCTTGCGAGTGATTCTCTGCTTTTTCTCCAGTACTCTCCTGATGTTATTACTGTTCAGAGTACAGGCGGCATCCGTGTTGCAAGCTTGGTTAGGTTGCTGCAACATGCTAGGATGGTTTCCCACTCGAATGCCCCGTGGCCGCCCCGTTTGGTTAGGTGCTGTTCGCCCCTTTCCCTCCATGTTCCCGGCTCCGGACCGTCTGCGGGTTTCGGGGTCGGGGCGGGGTGTAGTTGCGGCAGAGACTCGGGCGGTTTTCGGGGGCTGCCCCGTTCGGGTTGGGGACGGAGGTTTGAGCCTGTGCCTCCTGCCAAGGCTTCTGGGTCTTACCAGCGGCCCTTTCTTGTTGCCTTTCCCATGGACTCTTGCTTTTCTTTAAGGGCGGAGGGCTTGGAAGACGGCTGTGCCCCGGGGCCTCTGTTGTTGGTTCCTGGGGCTGTGGGGGATGCCTGCTAGCAGTTCAGGGGCGGTTTTGCCCCTGCCGGGGTTTTTCTGCTGTTGGGCGACGTTTTTCGCCCATCCAGTCTGCTAGCTTCCCACATTTGCTGGCGTGTTTTTGTGTATTTAGCGTCAGTCACAGCCCCTGCTGGCGGCCATTTTCGTCTGCCGGTTTCACGGCGTGGCCACCAGGGCGGCGTTGCGGTTTGTTTACATGCGTCTGGGTGTGCGAGCGAGCGTCTCGGGTGAGTTTTCAAAATTTTTTCAGGGTTTTTGTTCTCCTGTTGTCGTTTTTGTTTTTCTGGTGTTTTCTTGCCGTTGCCTGTTCCTCTGGGAACGTTTGGGTGTTGATTTTACAACAAGTTTTTCCAATGTTTCTGATTTGGGTCTGAGCCTTTGGGTTTAGGCTCAGTGCCCCTGGCTGGTATGCTTGCTCCCACACAATGTCCCTCGGTTTTCGGTCTGTTGGGTCCGTTTTCCCAGGGGGTTCTGCGGGGGCTGTGCTTTGCCTTTCAGTGGTGTTCTCCACCGGCAAATGTGGTGGTTTGGGCTCCCCCTGGTTCAATTCTGGGTTCCTTTGGGTTCCTTGGTTTCGTTCTGGAGGTTTCTTCCTCTTGGGCCCCCTTTTGTGGATTCAGGGGACTTTGTTTCCTCGTGTGACCCGGTTCTGCCTTCTGGGGTTCCGGGGTCTTCCTGGCTTATTCAACATAATTGTACAAATAAGCTGGTATGTTGCCCAAAGACCATAGTGGCCACCAATACACATGACATGTCATGCAGACGACCCCACCTCCCTCACCAAAATGGCAGCACACGATGATGGCTCTATACATATCTATACATAATGGATCTATAAGTATCTACATTTGTGTTCACCATAGCGAACCACTAAGCTGGTGTGGTAAGTCCAGTCAAAAAAAGATGGCCACACACAGTCAGAAGACAATACCACCTCCCTCCCTCCCTCAGCATTACTCCTCCCACCATAGAGCGCAGTGCTAAATATCACCACAATCCTGCAATTATCAAAATTCTGGTCAGTTTTATCACAGTCAGGGGTCCTCTGTATTACTATCATTGCTAAATAATAGCATGTACATATATATTTTGACATTTGTAGGCAATACTCTGGTCACAAGCTGAACAGCGGTGCTGTGAGCTCATGCTGTGTGCCAGCCTCGGTGGCTCACTTGGTACTGAGGCTCTTACACCGGGAATGTTGCCCATGATTTTTTTCTAGGTGGCGTCTGTTACCTATCGCTCGTGGCTGGATTATAGCTGCCCCTCTCCCTCGCGGGGCATTTAAAATCGTGCGGTAGAGCTTTAATCTTCTATTTATATATACTGCGCGGTTTCTGTAAAGTTACTCCCATAGTCTATACAAGTATATGTATTGGGCAGTCTAAGGGTTAGTGTACCGGTCCTAGTGGTTCATGTGTGGCTTTGGGTCGCAGGTTGCAGCCAGTTTGTCCTACCATCGTGTTGATGTGCGCGTTGCGGCCACCTCCCGAGTAAATTCCTCTTTAACTCTCCCGAGAAAGCCCCCCTCTTTAAGCCGAAGGGGGTTCCCACAGAAAACCAGCGTTGAATGTAATGAAATGCCATTTTCTGGGTGAGCCCCCAAAGACTTCCTTGCACCATCCCTCTTGTTCGTTGGTTTCGTTTTGTTTTTGATGCTCAGCCTCCAAACTGAAGGTGTGAATAGTCGGTGCGGGGGCCCCCCCCCCCCTTCCAACACAAGCGGTATGGCGGCGGTGAATGATGTTTGCTTGTTTGCTCGTTTCCTTATGTTTTTGGGAGTTCTGTCTCTGTTCGGTCTTCAGTTGCAGTTACTTACCAGGTGGGGTCTGTTTTGTTATGCCTAACCCCAGTCGATGGCAGACATTGGAATGCTCCCAAACACATGGGGGTTTCACTAGGCCATTGCTTCCTGTGTTTCTCTGAGGGGGCCAGGTTCTGGCTCGTGGTCCCTGGTAGGCAGAATTCCATTGACTGATGCCCCAGACTAATATTGCGTATATCAGTCCGATTGCTCCAGGGAGCCTCCGGAGCTCGCACAGAAAATAGCGTTTCATTACATTCAACGCTGGTTTTTTGCCATGTCCAGGCCCCCGGCTGTCTTGTATTGTTTTATGTTGTGTCATGAGGGATCTGCAGGTTCGGTGTGTCCTCGCTCTCTTTCTGTTTGCAGTTGTGCCACTCTTCATCTGTCCTAGCTTATCTGTCCTGGGCTTCTTTTAGGTATTGGGAGTTTTGAGGGTTGTCCTGCATTTGGGTGGGTCAGTGTCTTCTCTATGTGCACTGTTCCTAGCTCCCTTGTGTGTTTTTCGGTCGTGTTTTATGGCCATGCATCATGTTTGTCTTTTTTTTTTGCTTCGGTGATGGAAGAGGAATAAATTCATAGAAATTTTATCATTAGTGCCACTGCTCCCTACACCATCTCTAGAGGATTTGCACAGGTTCCAGGTTCTGACTTGAGATCTCTGTAAGCCAAATAGAACTCTGTGATTGATGGCCCCTAGTAGTTTGGCACTATGTTAGCATAGTAGTTTCAAAAAGCCACTAGGTCTCTCACAGAAGTTGGCATTTCATTACATTCAACATTGTTTTTTATTATGATACTAAAACTTTATTTCAATATATTAATAATTTAATTATTTTAATATTTCATTGTCTGAAAGGACACAATATATTTTTATGTAATATTCTTAACTGTAGATTGCACAGGATCTCTAGTAATGCATCTTTGCAGTCTTGAAGTTGGCTGAAACTTATCATTATGTAACCTTTTGATATTTGTATACAGATGCAATTGTGTACGGAAGTTGAGCGGCGATTGCAAACCATGGAAGAAGAAATTGTAGTTAATCCTCAGTATGTGCAGAAAGTTTTGGGTCCACAAGATGATGAAGGACCAACTCCTTCATCTGCACAATCCACCTCATTTTCTATTGTTTCTTCCATGTGATAACCTCAAGTGATGTGCCTACTTTATACACAATAAATTTTGCATGTATTGATTTGCAAGAGGTTTTTAAGTTAGTAGAGTTAACCTCATTTCACCAGCTATTGCATCTACATTCTTATTATCTTATAGACCATTATGAATGTTTGAAACTTTTATTTATTTGAATTTGCCTTTGCTGTTCATAAACAATTTGTGTTATGGAAAAGGTTTTGTTTTACAGTATTATATATATCATTTCGTATTACTTAATCAAATTGCAGGAAGATTTTGTAGAACTGGAGCATTTCTTGAAAATACATATCCTTTCACTAATCGCACTTTCTATATTGAACCTAGAAAATATTACTGTTGTGAATGCAGTTCTGTTAATAAAATAAATTGCATTATAACACTCATTACATTTTTGTTTTATTATAATAAGTGTAAACATCAATTTATTTTCATTGTTTAACTGAAAGAAGAAACAGCTTTGAATTTCTCTAATTAAAGGCATCTTTTTTCTACGTAGATGATATAAGTCATCATAATCATTGGCCAGTTTCCCAGTTTGAAGAGAGTAGAGAGGCATCTTCCCAAAAAATACATAAAACACTGGTGCCTATCCTAATCCTTGACATTCTTGTAACTCCAGTCCTTCATGAAACTCGCCTTACATTGAAATTAATTTTCTTATTCAAATTATCTTGAGGGAGCCTCTCAGAGGCTCTTTGAAGTTACAGAGATCCACATGCTTTTCAGATGCCTTGGGACTGAGAATCGAAATAACTTATTGTATCCTGAAAAGTGGTTCATCATCTTTAAAATTTAGGGGAAAAATTCAACAATTTTATGTGATTAATTTGACAGTATTTTGTTAGTACTCACCAATATGAGATGTTTTCAGCAGCTTATATTGCTTATTATTGTTCATGGAACTTTGATACTTAGATGGAAGAAATGGTGGTGTATGTTGGAGTTGGGTTGACTGAAGTGGAGATTAATGGTGATGAGGTAACCTCAGATGTTGAGGTGCTTAGGTCATCATGTGATGAACCAGGCAGATGGTTCAATGCGAGCTTTCTTGGAAGTCTTTGCAAAAGACTCTTGAATTCAAATGTCTCGGTCCCTTTGCTCGTGTTTATAAAAACTTTATGTACAAACTATACTGGCTCATTATGCACATACAGTATTTGGAGTTTTAAATTACGACTTTTTATACCGAAACTTTGCAAATTAGTGAAAGCATCGACCTGCATATTTTGCCCAAATTGACCTGCAGTTTTCAAAATACCAGTACAATGTCTATTTGAAATATGACTTGGGCGTTATTTTTGTGTGCAATTTAAGGGTGATTTGCACATATTTAGAGTTTTAAATTACATCTTTTTATACCGAAAATATGCAAATAAGTGAAAACGGCGAGTTGTCATATTTTGCCCATATTTGCCAGTATTTTAATGATCAAAAAAGCATGTTACTACAAGATCTAAGTTATTGGATACGACTGTTGACTTAGGCCATGTATATTAAACTAGACTCTATTCCATATAAAATTCATTGGTTATTATACGTGAATATGTGCATCCATTGCTTTATCAATTATATAAACTTTCAATCATGGTGTCTAGAGAGGTAAATGCACCATTGAAAGCTAATTAAGAAACTAGCAGTCAAATCGACACTCGTCGGTCGACAAATTACCGTTGCGTTGCCGTGAAACAGTGATCACTCCATTGCAACAGTCGATATGGCAATACCTCCCCTTATAACCTTGAATTTCATCGTTATTATGAATTGGTACGTTCAACCAACGGTAAATTAATGATTAACCAATAATCTTCATGAGTGTTCATGTAATTCCTCCATTTCAAAGCTCACTAACAAATTTTGAGTTGTAACAAACTAGGTTTGTTGTAGGAATTATTCAGTATGGTTTCTCATAGACTATGGGGGTGGAAAGTTTAGAGTCAAGCGGAGTGACCTGACTCAGGGGAGAATGAGGTCATCTTTCCTGGGATTAGTGGTTGAGATCACAAAACGGCAGGCGCCTTTGTCTTGAGCAACGTATAATGAATTATTTTACAGAATTCAGTAATTTAGAGAAATTCAAGTCTTCATTAAATTGTATTCATAAGAACAATACATATGTTCTTATAAGTATCATACATATACCCTTATAACTACCATACATATGCCCTTATAAGTACCATAAATGCCCATATAAGTACCCATTCATATGCCAATATAGGTACCATACAAATGCCTTTATAAGTAGCATACATATGCCACCATAGAGGTACGTAAGTACATAAGTACCAAACACATACCCATAAAGGTACCACCATACTCAATCCCATATAAGTGTCATACATATGCCCATATAAGAACAATACATATGCCCATTGAGGTACCATACAAAAGCTCTTATAAGTAACATACATATGCCGAAAAAGGTACCATACTTATGCCCCTGTAAGAACAATACATATGTTCTTATAAGTATCATACATATACCCTTATAACTACCATACATATGCCCTTATAAGTACCATAAATGCCCATATAAGTACCCATTCATATGCCAATATAGGTACCATACAAATGCCTTTATAAGTAGCTGTTACGACCCTCTCGGGACGCAACGGGGTCCTTACTCTGATGTTGTTAGAGGAAGATATATGTATCCGTTCCCGAGCCAGTAGTGGCTATCAAGGGATGAGATCCGTGACGCAAGTAACTTAAAGGGAGTAGGGAAAGAAAGCTAAGAACTTAATATTATAATTATTACCATCACCTATTAAATATATAAAACAAATGAGTACACAAAGGGGAGGGGTATTAACAATTTACAAGGGGATTAATCCTTCATCGTGGTCTTCTGCTGAAGACGCTGGTGCCACACCACTTGGTGCCGAGTCCTGGGTGCTTTCTTCGTGGCCTCACGACGTGTCCTCTGAGAATGCCGAGCCTACCCGGGCCACAGGTCAGCCAAAACGCAGGTCCACTGGGGGCACCGTCGTGGAGGCCGTCAACCACACGTCCAGCTGGTCTGCTGGCAGGTACTGAGCCACCAAGGCTGGTACGGACACTCCACGAACGATATAAGGGGTACGCCCTAGACAGGAGTCTCGTGTGATATCACAAATCACCCTCCTGTCTTCAGTACCCCAGTGGATGATCGTCTCCAACAGTCGGTCCCGGGTAAATCCTTTCACTGCCACTCCACTGGCAGGCTTAACACACCACAGTGTTCTTCCGGGGGGACGACGTCACAACAGCTGCAGCAAACTTCACAGTATGGAGACTGGCTGCCTCGGGTAGACTCACTCCACTTCCATCACAGTGGTCCCAGGTCGGCTCTGTAAGCAGACACGTCATCAATAACAGGGACACTAAAACACCACACTTACGGGCTCGGGCGCAAACACCTGACGTATCCAGTCCATAGATGGCGCTGTCGTCGGAGCACCACCTCACCAGAGGTCAGGGGCGGCGGTGTTGAGCGCTGAACCAGACTGGAAACTGGTCCTCGAGGCCAGTACACGCTGTCCTCACTAGGTGTCGTCGTCCGTTTGGCGGGGGTTTCGGGAGCTGACCCACAGATGGCGTGGTTGTCACTGCTCCAGGCTCGGACGCTGGATCCGGGTTCGTAACAGTAGCATACATATGCCCATATACGCACCATGCATAGTAGTCTCTAAATACATGAGGAATATAGATATAATGTTATTTTGATTATCCATTTATTATTTAGCTCAATTTGATCATTATTACATTTTTTACAATTGATTTTCCTTAGTAATTTGTTGAGAAAACACGATGATATTTTTGATATTTGAGGTGGCTGTATCTCAGTAAATATGGCTGTATAGGCGTTAATATTTAAAATTAGCAAAGAAAGACTTTATAGAAAGAAAGGTAAATTGCTGTGGTAAACACAATGGTACCATTTTCAAAACGATTCTATGGCTGGTTTTGATTTTGAGTTTTGTGAAAAATGACGATTTCGCCAGGGCTCGGATTCTTTGCAGGCGGCGGGCTGTATGTACCCCATCTTTGTCTTCGTCCGCTGGTCAAGTTTTTATTCATTGTCTATCTTCTATATCTATAAAATACAGATGACTGTCTGTGTAAGGTAAAAGGTACGTAAGTACCATAGAGGTACGTAAGTACATAAGTACCAAACACATACCCATAAAGGTACCACCATACTCAATCCCATATAAGTGTCATACATATGCCCATATAAGAACAATACATATGCCCATTGAGGTACCATACAAAAGCTCTTATAAGTAACATACATATGCCGAAAAAGGTACCATACTTATGCCCTTATAAGAACAATACATATGTTCTTATAAGTATCATACATATACCCTTATAACTACCATACATATGCCCTTATAAGTACCATAAATGCCCATATAAGTACCCATTCATATGCCAATATAGGTACCATACAAATGCCTTTATAAGTAGCATACATATGCCCATATACGCACCATGCATAGTAGTCTCTAAATACATGAGGAATATAGATATAATGTTATTTTGATTATCCATTTATTATTTAGCTCAATTTGATCATTATTACATTTTTACAATTGATTTTCCTTAGTAATTTGTTGAGAAAACACGATGATATTTTTGATATTTGAGGTGGCTGTATCTCAGTAAATATGGCTGTATAGGCGTTAATATTTAAAATTAGCAAAGAAAGACTTTATAGAAAGAAAGGTAAATTGCTGTGGTAAACACAATGGTACCATTTTCAAAACGATTCTATGGCTGGTTTTGATTTTGAGTTTTGTGAAAAATGACGATTTCGCCAGGGCTCGGATTCTTTGCAGGCGGCGGGCTGTATGTACCCCATCTTTGTCTTCGTCCGCTGGTCAAGTTTTTATTCATTGTCTATCTTCTATATCTATAAAATACAGATGACTGTCTGTGTAAGGTAAAAGGTACGTAAGTACCATAGAGGTACGTAAGTACATAAGTACCAAACACATACCCATAAAGGTACCACCATACTCAATCCCATATAAGTGTCATACATATGCCCATATAAGAACAATACATATGCCCATTGAGGTACCATACAAAAGCTCTTATAAGTAACATACATATGCCGAAAAAGGTACCATACTTATGCCCTTATAAGAACAATACATATGTTCTTATAAGTATCATACATATACCCTTATAACTACCATACATATGCCCTTATAAGTACCATAAATGCCCATATAAGTACCATTCATATGCCAATATAGGTACCATACAAATGCCTTTATAAGTAGCATACATATGCCCATATACGCACCATGCATAGTAGTCTCTAAATACATGAGGAATATAGATATAATGTTATTTTGATTATCCATTTATTATTTAGCTCAATTTGATCATTATTACA